GTATAATAAAGGATAAAACATTGTACTGTTTAGTTTGGAGTTTTATTACCCAGAAAATTAATCAATCTTTGTAATTCTGATTTCTTCTCACTATTATTTTATTTACAAGGGAATGCCAGTATTTCTCTAGGAGAGTCAACTATGCCTTAAGTTACCTTTCTATTTATGTTATCTGTGTGATACTTAAATATAATTTTCTTCAGATTCCAAGTAAGCAAACAGTTATTAAAGAAAATGTCTTTACATGTCTCATGAATGATTCCCACTTGATGTGGCCACATTCATTTTTTAACAGTGATTCAATGAAAACTGTAATCATACTTCTGGATTAGCTTTGTATAGCCCAAAAGAAACAGTATTTGACTACATCTTTTCTTTCTAACTACTTCCTTGGTAGTTTTCTGGCTGTAACATCTGAGAGACATTATTTTGAAGTTAATATGTGTTTAAAATGAAAATTACTTGGCAATCTCTGTAAATACTTTCTTATTGAAAATGAATGAACATGATTTTATTTGTTCTGATTGGAAGTATTTTTAAAATTAGATGTATTTTAAAATTAGAAAATTTATGTTCTCCCCCTAAAGAGAATCGAGTAAAACATTATGATGTAAAGCTAATTTTTTCTTTCCTAGATATGCAAACATGTATTGGTAAAAGACATAAAAATAATCGTGCTGGATCTGAGGTGATGTGTTCTGAAGATTAACACTGACTGTCAACACCAGACACCTACTCATGGACGTGTGGTTGCTGGATTTTCTTAAAATGTTTCCAGAAATGACTGATATTTTATATTTATACACTTTAGATCTGAAAGTTTGATATTTATTGCTCTTGCACATTTTGAAGTTTTTCTTTTGCGTTGCTCTGTCTCAAGAGTGGTCACAATGGTGTTAAATCAATACCTATAAATGTACCCAAATATTATGACCAGATAATAAATTGTGCTGCAAACAACATGACTGGTATTTATAGAGGCCTCTGTGTATGTTTCCAGGGCTTTAGATGTTTTGCTGTATTTTTTCCTCATCCTATAAAACATAATTCTAAGCAAGAAATTCTGAGCACCAGGTGGTCTCCAAGACAGGCCATCTGTTTCTGCAGCCTCTCCATGTGGTAAAAGATGAGCAGTTTCCACATGTAAGAAGAAACGTGGCTGTAGATAGAAAACCCCATCCTGTGTTTTCAATGTCATCACGTCCCAAGCTCAGAGATGCATCTACAGTGAATCTTAGTGTAGGATACGAGAACAGTGAGCATCTACTCGGGAGTCAGGTGTCAGAGGGTTTGGAGGAGCAGGCAATTCATTAATTTAATTTAGAGGATTAAAAGTAGAGATGCTTGAGAGAGGAATTAAAAAGACTCAGATAAAAGTGTAAAGACTTTTACTATGAAAGTCAACAGGGGTGACGAGGAGAAGAAATGAGGCATAGGAAATAACTGGTAGTTCTCAGCCCAAAAGAATAATTAAGAAAATAATTTGGGAAGAGCACTTATAATTTTAAGTGTCTGTATATAAATCAATGCGCAAGGAATAGGAAGAAAATTACATTTAAACTGGGGCAACAAACATACAATGTTATGGTATTACAAATGGCTTGGAGTGGGATTCGTGACTGGTACCCAGATAATAAAAGCATTTACCTGGATCAAAATATGTAGATTAAATAACCGGTGTGGAAGACTTATGTACTATGTTGGCAAGTTGAATTGGTGGAAATATTGTGAAGAAAATTTAGCTGCAAATGTCAGGAGGGAAAGGATGAAATGATATTGTTGAAGGGGCAAAGTCCAGCCATTGCAGCTGGAAGGAGATGGATGCTTCCTTCCGACAATCTACACAAGACTGACAGCAAGGCACATGAAACAATGATGGGGCTTCAAACCATCGCATGAACAAGTGAACGTCATGTTTAGCTAAAAGCAAATCATGATAAATCCTGGACTTGTCTAACTGATTGCTGAATTTCTCTGTAGGGGATTTAAATGTTAACCAATAAAGAAAGACGGATGTTGAATTGACAGAAACTTTGGAGAAAAATGAATACATTGAGAGGGATCTGTAAGGGAATTGTTTTGGGAATATGACATTTCCAATGACCCTATCGGGGGTACTTTAAAAGAGACTAATGACTGAATAGTCCCTAAGAAATCAAATGCATGGTATGTCACCCTAGACGTTCCCAGTGAGGTGAGCACAGGATGGCAATAGAGAAACCAGCCTGGAAACTCAAACTCATAGCTCTGCCTAAATTTCAAAGGAGCCTGTGGGAAAGATGGAACGTGGGCACTGAGCCCAAGAACAATTCTGAAAAGACAGATAAACATTGGCAACCAAGAAAACAACACAGGATTGACTAGGAACGGCCAAATAACAAAACTAGAACAAGTTAGTAATGAATTTGATGTCCATGGACTCGGGGAGTAGAGGGCTTCCCAAGGGGTGTTTGGGCAAGCATGTGTTTGTAGAGTATTAGGAGAAGTAACGCGGAAACAGGATGTGATTGGCTAGGGGTGTTTCCTGTCATACTTCAGGGTCTTACCTTACTCTAGCCCACCTTTCTTCTCTCCTGCCAACGTTTGAATTTCCTTCTCTAGCCATTTTTTTCCCCCTGGATCTGCAGTTTTTTCCCTGATGGGGTCAAACTAACCTCATCTAAGCTTCTCTATTCCCAATGTCTTGTATGCCAACCACAACCTTCCCAGACTGTGCTTTTCTCCTGGCATTATATCTGAATTTCCTAAACAACCTAGCATCTAATTTTTAGCTCATATTTTTTAGCTCATATTATATCATGATATCGGTAGTCCAAGGAGGAGTGTTCCCTGTAATCTATGTGTGGATGAGATAACATTCCTCCCCCATTAGTCTGTTCTCTAATACTGGCATCCTGTCACGCCGATTCTGCTTTAGTTCTTAGTTATGAATAACCTGTGGGCAGCTCAGTGGCTTGTTTTTGCCTTATAACAGCTCGTAAGTTTGGAAAGTTTAGATCTCAGAATCTGGTTGTAGAGCTTGGCTTGCCCTATGCATGAGGACTTGTGTCTACAGCCACCACCAGCTAAGGGCAAATTAATTCAGCAAGGCTGCCTCCACAGACAACGGACTCTTTCCTGAGTGATGCTGTCCCCAACTTCTTGGCATCTTAGGGCACCATGATATTCTGACATACTTGACCAAAAGAAAGGATTATATAATTTATTCAAGTAAAAATGACTATTGGGACTAGGGATTGTTGAGAAATGAGATCATCAGTATAGAAATCGAAGTTACAGCAGGAGACCATGAAAATGAGAGGAATCTGATGAAAAAACTGTAGCTATTAAATGGTCCCTAGATTTAGAAAGAGCTCAATTGAAAGCCAAGAACATTTACTTTCTTAGATTTCTGGAAAGAATAGAAAGAGCAGCTATGAGTATCCAAACCAGTTATATCCCTTCTGAATAGCAAATTAGAAAAGAACCCATTTTTTTTGTCTCTAAAAAGATACATTGTATTCACTAAAGGAGTGGGGCGTTCTTGGCACTTTTATTTCCCTGGAGGGAAAAGCAAAACTTCAAGTCTGAGGTGAAGATTGAAAAGTTGTTCATGAAGTGGATGTGGTTTTCTTATTGATAAGTACAAACCCAATTTCAGACTTCCCAGAAGGACCTTGTCACAGAGCTGAAGAACTCTGGGAAGCAGCAAACAGTGCCATGCCTTTGCCTAGCAGAATGAGTCCCTGAGGCTCTGTGTCCGAAAGAAGAACCATCAGAAATAAGGTCACACCAATGAGAGATAGGCTGGCCAGGAGGTAGAGCCTGTGTGAGCCTCCCTGGAGGTCCGTGGGTGTGCCTCCATGGGTGAGCATGTGCATGTGTGTGCGTGGGGGAGTGCACGAGCGCCTGTGTTCCTCGGGTGAGCTTTCATAGTAGGCTGTGCAGCTCCCTCTTTTGAATATGAATCAATTCCAGAGCCCCATTTGCCACCGTTTTACCTCCCAAGGCAAAATGGTTCATTTCTTTTCAGATTTGTGTTTCGGTAGTTATGGGCCGAATTGTGTCCTCCCATAAATTCAGCAATAAAATCTTTTATGTATCAAAAACTTTTTTCCAGGGAAATACATTATTTTTAATTGTTTTATTTAAAAAAAAACTTACTGAGGTGAAGTTCACATAACATAAAATTAATTTTTAGCTCATATTTTTTAGCTCATATTATATCATGATATCTGTAGTCCAAGGAGGAGTGTTCCCTATAATCTATGTGTGGATGAGATAACATTCCTCATCCACACATTTTAAAGTGAAAAATTTAGTAACATTTAGTACATTCACAATGTTGTATAGACACCACCACAGTCTAGTTCCGATCTTACTGAGGTGAAGTTCACATAACATAAAATTAACTATTTTAAAGTGAAAAATTTAGTGACATTTAGTACATTCACAATGTTGTATAGACACCACCACAGTCTAGTTCCGAAGCATGTCCATCACTCCAGCGTGAAACCCCTTACCCATTAAGCCATTTCTCCCTATTCCCCGCCTTCAGCACCTGGCAACCAGTTCGCATTGTTGTATCATGTATCAATATTTCATTCCTTTTCATAGCTTACTAATGTTCCATTGTATGTAGATACACAATTTATTCCTCAAATAATTGAGTTTTGGCCTGTTATCAGGTTTTGGCTATTGTGAATAGTTCTTCTATGAACATGTGTGTACATATATTTATTTGAGTATCTGTTTTCAATTATTTTGGGTATATATCTAGGAGTAGAATTGCAGGGTCACATGGTAATTCTGTGTTAACATTTGGGGAACCACCAAACTTTTCCACAGCAGCTGAACCATTTCATATTCCCATCAGCAAAGTAGCAAAGTACAAGGGTTCCAATTTCTCTATATCCTTGTGAAAACATTTTAAAAAAAATATAGCCATCCTGGGAGGTATGAAGTGGTATCTCATTTTGGTTTAGACAGAGCAATACATTATGAAGTGAATTCTCTTAAAGTCAAATTTTAATAATAAAATCAGAGTTGATGGAGATGCCCAGGGCTTCTAGAACCCACTCTCAACACCTTTTTATTGTTGTGGGACACCAGTCCCAGGCCTTTATCAAGTTCGCCAGAACCAGGTTTAGAAGCAAAATTTTATTTTATCGAAGATGGTCAACATTTTTGACTGGGTAAGATTATAAATACAAAAGAGAGGACGACAAACAAGAGCCACTGGTAACAGCCCTCTAAAACACTGCTTTTGCTTTCAATTTAACTCAATACTTCACATATTCATAAGGGAGAAGACCGACTAAAATAGAACATATATCTGAAATCACAAAACTTTTTTTAAAGAACGGGACTAGTCTTAAATTTGTAGGATAGGATTCACTTGCTTAATATATTTTTGCCTGAGTAGATGATGCCATTTTGTATAGGAAGACTGAAGTTAAAAGATTTTAGGCTATTTTTAAAGGAGTTTCTGGTTGTAGCATATGCAGAGAGATCTGAAGAGCCAGGGGGAATAATTGAGCCAATGAAAGGACAGAGAAAGAAGCTTAAAAACTAAATGTGGAGGAGAAAAAATAGAAAGCATGATTTAAGAAGCATATGAAAAGAACATGTTTTGATTGAGTGTGTGTACAATGTCACGTGTTTTTCTCCAAGGACAGGAAATCTGCTTAAGGACACCTCAACTTTAGGTCTCTGAAAAACTCATTAAATATATTGTGTGGAAGTCTGTTTTATCATCAATTTTTCTTGAAGATAGCATATGTTTACAAAACCAATCAGGCAAATTATAATCATTTATATTCCCCTTTGGTCTTTAAGGAGCACGCTATTACTACAGGAAGAATATTTTGGAATAGCTGTAGCCATCAGGAACAAAGTAGAGTGGGAGGTGGTAGTGTTGGGTATTCATTTCCCAGATATATTTTCGAAAATGACATGAGGAATTTAACCTGCAAGACGAAAC